TTGGGTGAATACATCTCATATTAATAATGTAATTAATTAGAAAGTCTGAAAATTAACCCAAATAAATTGGACTATTTACGTACATGCAGCTACACCATCCTGGCCAATTCATGCTCGAAATACTGTTGGGAGCTCAATTAGAAGTCAAACAAATATTCAATTTAACATTTGTTATATGATGCTAGCCCAAAGAGCAGCACGACAATTGCGAGGTTGCCATTTTGATAAAGCTCTTAGTAACACAAAACCCGAAAATAAATAATTTTCCATGAGCGATGACAACAAATAATTTAGTGAATGAACGACCCTATAATGTTGACAAACTGGTCTTTGGCTAAGCGTTAAACAAAAATTCGGCTGAACTAGCTACTCAAGGGTCTAGAGAGTAGTATAGATAAATGAAAATGGCCTTTTGGCAAAAATTAATTAGGCATCGAAAAAACTTGAATCGCTTCACTGGCTTTACCCAAAGTTGCACATTCTATGAAGTAACTTAAGAGAAATATAGCTTAAATTATGCCTAGTTGTGTACATGCCGTTTATATAGCTTGTACATAAATCTTGTACCTCTTGTACTCTTTTGTTGACAGATTTAATTTGTCCCATTAGAGAAGTAGTATCATGCGAGAAAAGGCAATCGAACTTGGCTGTTTAACAATTTTGTTGTTGTATCTGTCAACAAACATTCTGATTAGAACTGGTCTATACAGGACTCTTGAGATGTTAGTAACCAGGCGAATGTGAGAAACCTCAGATGTACTAACCATGAAGATAATAAGTTGCTAGACCGTGATCTTGTCCGGCGTTATGGGCTGCATTCTACTCGATATGAGACCAAATGGCTCTTTAAGATGTGTAAAATATTTAAAGTCATCTCAATGCTGCTTGAATATTTGCTTTTTCCTCTGCTTCTGCGCAATTCATCATAATTTCTACTCGAACTTTCTATCCTCCGCCGAAAAAGGGGCAGTTTATGGATGGAATAGAGCCCAAGAGACATGGACAAACGGGGCGTAATGATAAACTTGGCAAGATCTGCATGCGCACAAGAGGAATTCTTTTATAACGGTGGTAATGCTCGGTATCTGGGTTTCTCTTTGGGCCAGACGAATTTTCTGCCATCTCATGTTCTTCCTGGCCAGGAATCTTGCTGCCTCTACCCGGCCGGTTCTTCTGTTCAGGCCGACCATCAAAGGCTGCTGGTAGTAACTCTCAGAGGAGAATGTCCTTGCAATGACACTTAAATTTGCCCTTATCACACATTTGAACATGTAGCCTGATTTATATGCCCAACAGACAACGAAAAACGGATAACTGGAATTTTCCGGTTAGTTACGGAATATATCTTTGCAGATATTTTCAATTGATTTGCGGCTTTTTCATCCCCATTTGAGGAGACGGCAGTAGTGAAGCTGTGGAAGGCGTTAACATTGACATTTAGAATGGCGCTAGCCAACAAATGTCGTCTCTTTTGCGCAAAAAAAGTTTGCATTCTGTGTCAGGAAGTAGTGCCGTTGCCAGGCTCCAGCGTCACTGGATTTGGGTACTTGAACTAAAGTCGGATTGCTGAATCCAGAGTTTTTGTACAGAAGACAAACTGCATTTCAGCCTCGGGGAAATACACCTTTCCAAAATTAATATTATTAGGCTTTGAGGCCTCACAAAGTAAAGAAAGAATGAAATTCAGCCAAGTCCTCTTCCATTTGGATAAAGCGCCCTTTCCTATTCAGCTTGTCCCAAAGTGTACCTGTTTTTAATGGTCTTAGTGGGTGAAAGGCTGAACTGATTTACTATCGGTCCGAGAAAATCATGT